GGCACAAATTCTAGAGGAGAGTTTCTGTTCGAGTACATTCTGTCCACAAATCTTGTTGTGTGCAACCGGGGAGACCACCCCACCTTCCGCAACAGGAACCGTGCAGAGGTTATAGATATAACACTGGCCTCGAATAGCGACTCCCTTACCATCGATGACTGGCACGTGTCCAGTGAGTGTTCCTTTTCGGACCACTGCAGGATAGTGTACAGCATCAAATGGAACAAGGAGAGGCCCAAGGCCTACCGCAATCCCAAGCGGACAGACTGGAACCGCTTCTCCGCAACCGTACAGAAGGTGCTGCCTAACCCACCGGAAGGGGACATAATTCAAACGGAAGCACTAGAGAAAGCTACGCAGACCGTCACTAATGCTCTACAGATGGCGTTTCTCAAATCCTGCCCGATCAGCCGACCCCCAAAGTCCAATCACAACCCGTGGTGGACACGGGAGTTGAGCGAAGTCAGAAAGGAATCGAGGAAGCTCTTCAATAAAGCAAAAGTGACAAACACACAGGAAAGTTGGGACGCGTATCGCCGCAGCTTCAATACCTACAAAAACACCTGTAGGAGGGCGAAAAGGGAATCATGGGCAGCCTTCTGCGATGCCATAGATGGTACCACTGAGGCCTCAAGGCTTCGACGCGTACTGTCGAAGGCACCCACCACACCAGGCCTGCTCCGCAGCCAGGACGGTACCTTCGCAGAGAGCAGCCAAGAATCCCTGGAGCTCCTCATGAGTACTCACTTCCCGGGTTGCTCAGATGTCACCGGTGACGAATCCAACGCCACCAACGACACTGAGGATCATCAAGGGAGGAAATCGAGGATCTCATACGAAATATAATGGCACCAGACAAGATTATCTGGGCCATTAAATCATTCAGTCCCTACAAGTCACCGGGACCGGATGATATCCGACCAGCCATGCTGCAAGCAACTTGCCTGCACCTACTACCATGGCTGAAGAAAATATTCGAAGGATGCCTCCTAACTGGGTACGTCCCCCACGGGTGGAGGGAGGTGAGAGTGGTCTTCATCCCCAAGGCCGGGAAGATAAACCACATCTCCCCAAAGGACTACAGACCCATCAGTCTGTCGTCATTTTTGCTTAAAACGATGGAGCGACTAATGGATCTATATATAAGAACCAAGCTAGACAAACAAGTGTTCAGTGGAGCTCAGCACGCCTACATCAAAGGTAGATCAGTTGAGACCGCACTACACGAAGTTGTTGGGCATATCGAAAAGAATCTAAGCTATAAGGAATATGCCTTGGCGGCCTTTCTAGATATAGAAGGGGCCTTCAACAACGTCAGGATCGAGTCAATAACGGCCGCATTGGCCAAGATTGGCACACACCCGACGGTAACCGGATGGCTAGACAGCGTTCTCAGGAGCAGAACGATAAGCAGAACCGAATACTCGGTGGCGCCTTCTACGAAGATCTGGACAGCCTGGCAAACATGCCTCTAGAGAAACTGGTGCTCTTTATAGAGGCCTCGGGATGGTTCGCGAAACCTCCCTAGGCACCGGACAATATCCCATGACGAGTGTGGGCATCACAATGGGCAGACTTGCCTCCGAGTGACCTCGACTTCAGTCGAGCAGCCCTATAAACCTAACCTAACCTAACTGACTGGCCCAAAGATGAATTGTTGCAGTTTCTGACCACCAAAAATTGTTCATGGTTTTTTAATCCACCCTTGAGTCCGCATATGTAAAAAAGTATTTATGCTTTCTACTGAAAGAAAGATTTCCTAAAGAATACACATTGAAAACATTGTTTTGTGAAATTGAGCATATGATTAATAGCCGACCACTGTTATATGTACCATCCGACTCCATGGACTCGGTACCATTGACTCCAAATGACATTTTAATTGGACCCGATTTTAGGGATTCATTTTATTCAACAGCCACTGATGGAGATTTGAAGGTGTTAAATATGTGGAAGGCGTCTCAAAGACTGGCCGATATGTTTTGGTTAAAATGGAGAGAAGAATATAGACAATATCTTTTATACAGTCGTAAATGGACAAAAGACCAAAGTATGTTAAAAGAAGGTGACGTTGTTTTGATAACAGATTCTGATTTACCTAGAAATATTTGGCCTAAGGGCATTATTGTAAAGACATATCAAGCAACGGATGGATGCGTTCGTATTGTAGATGTTAAGATAAAAGATAAAAAATTTATAAACGACCTATAGTAAAGTTAATCAAGTTAGATGTTAAGACGAATGTGTAATTGAATAATTAGTTGCTGCAATACTTGGGAGGAGAATGTTGCGAAAAGAAATATATAATTTTGAATTTAACCCTTCTTGTACCGTACAACGAATATCGGATATTTTGTAAGTGTGACCGAAGTCAACACATTATGTATATTTTTGATTTAAGATGAGTTGGCAGTCATTATCTAGATGTCTACTGAAAATTGTGGTGTATAAATATTGACGAAGCTGTAAAAAATAAAATTGAATAAAAATAAGTTGTCGGTGCACTATAAATTCTTGTTGGTTTATAAGAAATAACCCAACGACGACCAGAAATAAACATAAAGCCTGTGCATACGTGGTGCAAGGTTTGGTTGACGGAAATTATAGAATTCGGTCATTAGAGCCGGATTAGTAACCCTCTGCCTCTTTGCTAGGTGAATATGAACACCTACATGCTGAATCATTTAAATACATTTGATGAGTTGATATGCGAGTTACTAGCTGCCGGAGCTAAATTAGATGAAATGGAAAAAGTTTCCCATTTGTGGTTGTCATTGCCATCTAGTTACGATGGCGTTATCACGGCCTTCGAGACCCTGTCAGAAGAACTATAACCACCCAAATGTGAAAATAAACGAAACCAAAGATAATAAAATTAATAAATACAATAAAATGAAAAATAAATACAATAAATTCAATAAAGTAAACAATATAAATTACTAACCAAAACCCTACGAAAATTGTAAATGCAATTATTAAAAAGAACTGTTTTAATTACAAAAGATTTTAGAATTATAAAAATAGTGAAAATGATAAACAAGCGCAAATGGTAGTAGCTCATCCAGAGCAGCGAATCGCGTTCATGTTCCGAAGTCCGAAAGAAGAAAATTTATGTTTTCTTCTCGATTCTGGAGCTTTGGACCACCTCATGAACGATGAAGGCTTGTTTACCGAATATATTGACCTGGAGTCTCCGATCAAAATAGCTGTGGCCAAGCAAGGAGAGTTTATATATGCCAAAAAGAAAGGTATAGTGAGACTCGAGAATTCATTCATCAGTGAGATAACTCTGGAGGAGGTGCTTTATTGCCCAGATGTCCCAGAAAACTTGCTCTCTGTAAAAAGAATGCAAAATGCTGGAATGACGATTGAATTTCATCCAGGAGGTTTTAAAGTTCATAAGAATGGGCAAAAAGTTATGACTGGTAAATACACCGATAGAGAAAAAGCCCGGAAATTTTAATATTTTCACTTAGATTTTAATATTTATGCCATTGATTTTCATCCAAGAGTGGTTGTATTAAAATTGAATATTTTTCACTTAAATTTTGATATTAATATAGAAATATTTAAGTTTAATATATTTCATATTTAAATTTAATATGTTTCATATTTAAATTTAATATGTTTCATATTTAAATTTAATATGTTTCATATTAAAATTTAATATGTTTAATATTTAAATCTAATATGTTTCATATTTATACCCGTACTCAAAAAAGAGTTAAGGAGTATATTAGATTTGTGGTAAAAGTGGATGTGTGCAGCATGTGCAGCATTGATCAGCATCAATAGCCGAGTCGATATAGCCATGTCCGTCTGTCCGTCCGTCTGTCCGTCTTGATGAGCGCCTAGATCTGAGAGACTATAAGAGCTAGAGAAACCAAATTTGGTTTCCAGACTCATGTGATATCACACTGCTACAAGTGTATTTCAAAATTTCGCACCGCCCCCTTCCGCCCCCACAAAAGACGAAAATCTGTGGCAGGCACATTTTTAAAGATTAGATAAAACTAAAAACGCAGTAACGTAGAGAATGACCATATCTACCAGATTGCCGAATCTGAACTAGATCGGATCATAATTATAGCCAGAATGAAGAAATTAATTTTCTGTTGGTTCCCTCTCCTTCTCCAGCGCTGCTGACGCTACTGATTCGCGTTCAGTGCGCGAGCAACCCCTGGCGGAGGAGATGTATAATATAAATGGTACATGTACAATCTGGCCGCCAGTATTGAGCAACGCCCTTTTTGAGCAAAGGAGAGAGATCAATTAGAACAGGAGGTTTGTAGGGTTAAGCAAGCGAGAGTCAGAGTCAGTCGGTGCCAGAGTTTCGCGAACTACACACACACACTACACATTAAGTTACACACATGTAAAGAGCTGTTAGTCAACAGAAGCAGTCCACTCTATGGGGGCTGTTATACGCACGATAGGCCCTAGCCATCGATAACAACAGAGGCGATACTTACTTAAGAAGTCGAAGCGAACAAGATAACACACGTTCAAGAAAACATTATTTTCAATTAATTCATTCTACATATATTGTTCATCTTATTATATCCAATAAACACTACTATACTACTCAAAAGCCATCCCTTCACAGTTCAGAAGTGGGATGTAGAGCGTAAAAGTTTTAAGAGAAAACTCAAGAAAGCGGCAAGAATCGTCGGCGTGGGAAGTTTGCAATGGGATATGTTCCCTAAGGTCTGTGTGACAAAGAAAATTGCAAATTTCTACGCGGCAGACGGATTCAACGTTCAGCGATCAGGAATCTTAGTGAACCTGGACAGAAAGAGTCTCAAGAAAGTGCATCAGGAATCTGTGTGAGCCTGTCAATATACGCTAATACATTCAAAAGGCTTGTGTGTGTATGTAGCGTCGTTGTGAAATTCACAAGTGGGAGCCCAACGTTGTGAAATACAGTCATATCAGTTGTCTCGCTTGCACCAAACTGATTGTGCGTGCAAGTTAAAAGAGGGGCGACTATATCAGCGAAAATGGTCAAAATTGCGGATCTTAAGGTGGACCAGTTACGGTTCCTGTTAAGAGAGCGGAACTTGGCAGTTTCGGGCTCCAGAGCCGAATTAGTACAACGACTAATTGAGTTTGAGAAAACCGAAGACGTAGAGATGCCACAAGCAGCTGGAAACATAAGTCAACATGAGGAGGAGACGCTGACGTCACATGCGGCGGCAATTTCACACATGCAAAATGAAATGACGGAGCTGAAGAATATGATGGTTCAGTTGGTCATCATGCAACGACAAAACGCGGAAGCAACAGCATCAGGTGAAACAGCACAAGCGGCAGCAGCAACAACAAACCACCAGCAGATCAGAGAAGAAAATACCGAAGGTAGACAGGCTACCAATTACGTAAGGCAAGCGTCGGTCAAGGAAATAGCAAATACCTTGCCGGACTATGACCCCAGCGACGATAACGCCATCTCCGTAGACCAGTTCATCGATCGTGTCAACAGGGTAGTTGAGGCTTACCAATGGGACGAGAAGTTTCTTTTGCTCGCCATTTATACGCGGCTTAAGGGTCCCGCTAAGATGTGGCTCGACTCGTCGCCGGTTCTACACACCACATGGAGTGACTTCGCTGCAGCTATAAGAGACGAGTTTGGATCTAACCCAGATGAGGCAGAAGTTCACTTCAATATGGCCAATGCAACCAGAAGATCAAAGGAGACAGTAAAGGAGTACTGTTTCCGGATGTCCGCCCTTGGCGTGCGGTACAAGCTTAGTGAAGCAGCTGTTATAAGATATGTTAGATCAGGTATACAGCATCGAGAATTGCAAAATAGTATTGCCGCAATTCAGTTTTCGTCAATGAAGCAGTTTCGTGATGCAGCCGAATCGTATTTTGTAAATAGAGGTCGACCAATCGCAAACAAAAAGGAGTTCGTACCAAAAGGCAGCAACTTTGAGACAAAGCAGGATTACGACGTAAAGCCAACAAAGCCAAAGGAGGCTCAGAAGTGCTACAATTGTGGAGAATTGGGGCACTTCGCTAGTTCATGCCAACAAGAAAAAAAGAAGTCGCGTTGTACCAACTGCAATAAGTTTCATGCACGCAATGAGAAATGCCAACCGGCAGATATGATGCGTTTGGGTGCCGCGAATCTCGACAAGCTATTCACTAGGAAAATCTACATAAAGTCGTACATCTATAGCGCCTTCATTGATACTGGAAGTCAGGCTAGTATCATGCGCCAATCAGTTGCCAAACAAATCAACGCTGATCGCCACAAGTGCTCTATGAAGATTCGAGGCATTTATGGGGGTTCCTGTATCCTGACTGAAGCAATGGTTGTGGATATGGACATCGATGGAAAAATGATTACGGCCAAAGTATACGTAGCAGACGACGACCTGCTGCAAGAGGACTTTCTGTTAGGACAAGACGTCATCATTAGCGGTCAGCTATCGCTGAAGTTTGAGTCAGGCGACACCGAAGTGAAACGTGCTGTTCATCAACCGGTAGCGTTTGTAAGCGACAACCTAACTACAAAACTTCTTGTCAATCTACAGAACCAGCAGGAAAGAAGTAAAATGGGCGGTTTGCTGGAGAAGTTCAACCATGTTTTCTCCACAGGACTGCAAGGCATAGGCAAAACCAACATCGTCCAAGCCAACATTAGCGTTGAGAGTGGCCAAGTGGTTTCGCAAGCGCCATACCGAGTATCCGAGCCAAAGAAGGAAATTGTAAGCAGAATGGTCGAAGAGCTGTTGGAGCAGGATATTATCATACCATCCACGTCAGAGTACGCCAGCCCAGTGGTGCTCATCAAGAAGCCAAACGGTAGTGATCGACTCTGTGTTGATTACCGCCGTCTCAATAAACTGATCAAGAAGGAAAATTTTCCTGTACCGAACATCGAGGAGCGTCTGCAGGACGCGAAGCGATTTAAATACCTTTCTTCTCTGGATCTCAACAGCGGTTATTATCAGATAGAAGTAGCACCGGAAAGTAGAAAGTTTACTGCATTCATCACTACGGAAACTGCACCTGCTGTTTTCAATCGACTCATGGCAGAATTACAGAAGCGAGTGCAGAAAGGCGACATGATACATTACATGGACGACATCTTAATTGGTAGTCAGACGTTTGACGAGATGTATGAGAAGCTTGAGCGAATCCTCCAAGTATTGCAAGAGTGCGGACTAACGCTAAATCTGGATAAATGTGAATTGTTCAAGCAAACAATTACATTCCTGGGTCATCAGATACACGCAGACGGCATCAGTCCTGGAGAGGTTAAGACGAACGCTATTGCATTGTTCTCGACGCCGAGCAATGTGACTGAAGTACGGCAGTTTTTGGGTCTCAGCGGTTACTTCCGGAAATTTGTTGCCGGATATGCCATTATTTCGGATCCCCTGCGTACCCTGTTGCGCAAAGACCAGACGTTCAAGTGGGAACAGCCACAACAGGATGCATTTGACGAGTTAAAGAGACGCCTAAAATCGAAGCCCGTTGTCACCAGTTACCGACTCGATGCTGAGCATGAGCTACATACGGATGCCAGTGCCGTTGGCTTAGCCGGAGTATTGCTGCAGAAGGATGAGGATCAGATGAAGCCAATTGCTTACTATAGCCGAGCAACGTCCAAACCAGAGAAGAACTACCACAGTTACGAACTAGAAGCTCTAGCCGTCGTCGAGTCGTTGGAGCGATTTAAATATTACATATATGGTAAGCGTATTAAAGTCGTTACCGATTGTAATGCCCTGAAAACATCAATGGAGAAACGAGAGCTTATACCCCGAATTGCAAGATGGTGGCTACGTATACAAGAATTTGACATAGACATTGTTCATCGAGCTGGAACACAGATGAATCATGTTGACGCGCTAAGTCGAGCTCCATTTGAGGATGCACATGAGCTGGACACAGCATCCCTGCAAATTTCGAAGACCATCATCGACGAGGCTGATTCGTTGTTTGCCATACAATTGCAAGATGAGAAAATCCAGAAGATTGTCGCTGAGATGAACATTGATAAGAAATCTGAGACCGACGAGTATGTGATCGAGCAAGATCGCCTGTTTCGCAAATATGACGGCAAACTACTATGGGTTGTGCCGAAGCAGCTAAGATTCCATATTTTACATGAATGTCACGACACGGCTGGACACATGGGCACAGAGAAAACCATTAATCGGATTCTAAATTTGTTTTGGTTTCCCCGAATGCGCAACTACGTTAAAAGCTACATAAAGTCATGTGTGGGCTGTGCGCTGTATAAGATACCAGGTGGACGTCAGGAAGGACAATACTATTATGATGACATCCATCCGATCCCTTTTTCGACCGTACATATGGATCACCTGGAACCCTTCCCAAAGAGTTCAAAACGGAATGAGCACATTCTTGTGATTGTCGACGCATTCACTAAATTTACCATAGTGCGAGCTGTAAAAAGTACAGCCACGAAACACGTTATTGATATCCTGCAGGAGGTAACCAGCTACTTAGGAATGCCAGATCGAATCATTACCGATCGCGGTACAGCTTTTACTGCAAAGGATTTTGAAAAGTATTGTAAGTCGAATAATGTAAAGCACATACTCAATGCTGTAAAGACACCGAGAGCAAACGGACATGCAGAGCGGACCAACCGGATTATTTTGTCAATGTTATTGCCTTCAAATGAAAATGAAAAACGATGGGACGACCAGATACGCTCAATTCAATGGAGCATCAACACCATGGTAAATAGTACGACTAAATGTTCCCCATTTCAGCTATTGTATGGTTATGAGCCACGAGATATCCTCAAGAACACAGTGACAAATGCGATCCAAGGCCCGGATCTGAAGATGCTGACAGATGACGAGTTGGAAAAGCTACGAGCAGATGCTGCGACTACAGTCAACGATCATAGGGCTGCTGCGAAGAAACGTTACGATGCTAGACATTCCAAGCCAACCTTGGTGATCTTGTGTTAGTCGAGAATGAGCCGTTTAGCACAGGAACATCACGCAAATTAGAGCCTCGCTACAAAGGTCCATTTATTATCAGCAAGGTGCTGCCAAACGACCGATATCTAGTAGAAGATATCCCTCATGCCCAACGAAAGCAAAGGCACTATAAGTCGGTGTATTCTTCTGACAGAATGAAATGCTGGTGCGAACTCCCACCCGATGAACCAGATGAAGATGACGACATGGAAGGCGACTCACCCTACGAATCTCGCGAGGACGCTGCGATTTTTCAGGAAAGGCCGACTGTAAAGAGCTGTTAGTCAACAGAAGCAGTCCACCCTATGGGGGGCTGTTATACGCACGATAGGCCCTAGCCATCGATAACAACAGAGGCGATACTTACTTAAGAAGTCGAAGCGAACAAGATAACACACGTTCAAGAAAACATTATTTTCAATTAATTCATTCTACATATATTGTTCAACTTATTATATCCAATAAACACTACTATACTACTCAAAAGCCATCCCTTCACACACACGACATATTAAATACACATAATCATAAGCCAATTCCCATAATATTATATAAAGTTACAACAACTACCACTATTATAAAACTAACGTCGTCTTGGGCTTTAATCCACATCAGTGCAAAACACTGGGCCACACATTTGGGGGCTCGTCCGGGAAATTGAATTTTGATTAAACGTGTATAAAAACACCAACAATAAAAAGTGTCGTAATTGTGGTCAATTGTGTTGTGTTGTAGTGGAGCTCGAGTCATAAGTCGCAAAATTGCATTAACCAAGTCAAGAGTGTTAATGGACAATTGTTGGAGAGCGACAGAGACAAAAACGGAGCGTCAAAAGAATTTTCGACAATTTCGTGGAATTGTGAAATTCAGAAGCGACGCGCAGAAACGGCAGACTCAACAAGAACCGATTTCAAGGTCTGCGACAGAAGCCGACAAGAAACAGTGAAGGCGAAAGAAAACGACGAAAGCCACGAGAAACGACGAGAGCAGTGATAAAGGAGCTGGAAACGAAGACGATACGAAAGCAGAGGGAGCAGAAATCGTTACTGACAGCGGCGCGGGACTTTTCGGTATACAGACAACAAGCAACTGGCTGGAGTGTTAGTACTGCATAGCTGGAAAAGAGAGGCGTGAAGCAGAACGAGAGCTGTTTGATCTGGATGGGATCAAGCGTTGGGAGGCGGTAAGGTCGGATAGCAGAAGCGAGTTGCAAAGTACAGTTGCGAATTCTGGTGAGTTACGGAAATTGTCCTGGTCAGACGAGAGGATCCATATACATAAGTATTGATCGAAGAGGAAGCGGAAAAGAGCGACAGTGAGTCAAACAAGAACGAACGTGTTTAAGGAGAAAAATTTGATTTGAGTACAGTTTGAATAGTATGTGATTGCAGTTTGATAAGATTCAACTAATGTTTGAGAGCCATTGCAATTATCAGAATAATAATAAACTGTAATTGGAACAGTTATAGAGCTATTGTAATTGGAAAAATAATAAACTGTAATTGGAAGAGTTTTAGAGCAATTGTAATTGGAAAAATAATAAACTGTAATTGGAAGACTTTAAGAGCAATGGTAATTGGAAAAATAATAAACTGTAATTGGAAGAGTTTTAGAGCAACTGCAACTGGAGAAAATAAATAAACTGTAACGGCAAAGTTTGAAATTCATAAGTTAAATTAAATTGAGATTAAAAAATTCGCATTGTTTGAGAGCCATTGTAACCGGCCAAGTAAAAGCAGCAAACTGGAGTGCCAAAGTTTGAGCGAAATTATAATTAATATTTTTATTGTTATATTCTTTACTGCATTACAATACCACACACTTTCGTATATTATTACCCATTACATTCTATATTATAAGAACATAAATTGTACAAGATGAGAAGAGACGAGATTCTGGCACTGCTAGTTGCGGATTTGAGGCTTAAGTTGAACGAGCTGGGATTGGAGACGGTTGGTAGAAAGGTAGATTTAAAAAAACAGGCTTCTTACTCACTATGATCTTCAAGCGGAGGTAGATGAGAGTGATGGGGATGAACAGGAACAATCATTCAGGTCAATAGAAGCGCGGCAAGTTCAAAATGCAGAAGTAGGAAACAGAGTGGCAGGAATTGGTCGCAGAGAAATGGAAGCTACAGTTTCAGCTAGATCGTGGTTCACGCTAAAGGATGTTGAAGGTAGCGTTTCAGAGTTTTCAGGTTCAAATAGCTTGGATGTTAATCAGTGGATAATTGAGCTTGAAGAATCAGCTGCAGACTTTCATTTACGCTAAGCAATTGTTAGGTGGAGCAGCAAAGTTGTTCATACGCAGTCAGCGGGATATTCGTGACTGGAGTAGATTGAAGGAAGCGTTGATCGAAGAGTTCGGGATTAAAGTATCATCGGCAGAGGTTCATCGGAGATTGGTTAGGCGACAACAAAAGAAAAACGAAACGTTGCAGGAATACTTGTATGCTCTGATGAAGATCGCAAAACCGATTGATTTAGAGGACCAAAGTTTGATTGAGTACTTTGTGGATGGTATTCCGCATAGTCGAACCAATAAGGGGTTGCTGTATCAAGCCAGAATGGCTGAAGAATCAGATTGAAGTTTATCAGAAGATGCGTGGTCCATTAAAGTCGTCAAACAAATATGAATCACGGAGTTTTGGTAAGGAAATAAATGAGGGAAAAGGTTCAGAGTCAGCTAGGAAATGTTATAAGTGTGGAGAAACGTCACATATAAAGAAAGACTGTCCAAAGAACGATTTCAGATTTTATAAATGCAACCAACTTGGGCATAAGGCCGCTGCTTGCAGGGTTGAAGGACAGGTAAAGCAGGAAAGAGCAAACTTAGTGCAAGGGAAGATTGTAACAAAACCGTCAGGTATATTTACTTTTTCCGGGCTAGAGTTAAAGAATGTGGTACACACAAGAGGTACGTTCAAAGGTCTTGTAAACACAGGAGCGGATTTCTGCTTGTTAAGCCGCAGAGTTTTCCTTAAGTTAGGAACTGGTCATTTGACAGGTCGCCAAAGATGTCTGACTGGAATTGGGGAGTTTCAGATCATCACGATTGGAAGTGAAGTCATTCCTGTAAAGATCGATGGAATCGAAATGACGGTAGAGTTCAATGTTGTGTCGGATGAAAACATAGCTTTTGAAGCGATTTTGGGCAGGACAATTTTAAAAGACATTGACATGAAAGTCACCAAAGAAGGGACGGAATTCGTTAGACGATCGGAGGTCCAAGTAAAGAGCGAAGGGATACAGGATGAGGGTAACGAGGAACAAGGTTGTTGCTCAGAGCTGTTAAAAGAGTATAAAAGCTTGTGTATGATGAGTTCCGAAGAAAGTGACGATAAGGATGACATAAAGGTTTCACACTTATCGCAGCTAGATGCTTGTAAAGTGAAAGGGATGATCGAGGGATACAATCCAAAAAGAAATGCTAGTAGTCAGATAAGAATGAAATTAGTGTTATCAGACAAGTTACCAGTTTACCAACATCCGAGACGTCTAGCATGCAGTGAACAAAAGATAGTAGATGACCAAGTTCAGGAATGGTTAGACGAGAAGATAATCAATCATAGCACGTCAGAATATGCATCTCCTGTAGTTTTGGTCGAAAAAGAAAATGGGAAGAAACGACTATGTTGTGATTATCGAAAGTTTAACGAAAAGATAGTGAGAGATAATTTTCCAATGGTGCAAATGGATTGTGTTATCGAAAAGTTAGAGGGAGCAAGAGTATTTACCACATTGGATCTGTGGAATGGGTATTTTCACGTGCCTGTCGAGGAACAGTCCCAGAAGTACACTTCATTCGTTGCCCAAAATGGTCAGTACGAGTTCCAGTATGTTCCATTTGGTATATCCAACTCGCCTGCAGTGTTCAATCGTTTCATAATGTCAGTAATGCGTGATTTAATTAGGAAAGGTGATGCAGTCATTTACATGGATGACATTATCATCCCAAGTAAGGATGTTGAAGAGGGACTAGAAAGATTGGGAAGAGTGCTTGAAGTGGCAGCACAGAACGGATTAAGGATTAATTGGTCAAAGTGTCAGGTTCTACAGAAGAAAGTAACATTCTTAGGCTATATTGTTGAAAATGGAACGATCAAACCAAGTGAGGAAAAAACCATGGCAGTGGGTAATTTTCCAATACCCAGAGATAACGAGAAGGAACGTGTGAGTCGTTTCTGGGGACACGACTCTACTTATACCCGTACTCAGTCAGTATATACATTATTGAGCTTATGATTTTTGAGAATTTTAGAAAAAAAAAAAAAAAAATTTTACATTTTACATTCTTTTGCTACATCTGCTATCTACATCTACATATACAATGTCTATTCTACATCTAACATGTAGATTGTACATGTTCCATTCATATTCTACATCTCCTCCGCTAGGGGTTGCTCGCGCACTGAACGCGGCAGAGTGTGCGAGCGAGAAGGAAAATGAGTTGCGTTGTCTGGAACGGGAGGGGGAGGGGAAGCAACTAAAAATTAATTTCTTCATTCTGGCTATAATTATGATCCGATCTGATTCAGATTCGGCAATCTGGTAGATATGGTCATTCTCTACGATACTGCGTTTTTAGTTTTATCGTATCTTTAAAAATGTGCCTGCTACAGATTTTCGTCTTTTGTGTGGGCGGAAGGGGGCAGGGCGAAATTTTGATACACTTGTAGCAGTGTGATATCACATAAGTCTGGAAACCAAATTTGGTTGCCCTAGCTCTAATAGTCTCTGAGATCTAGGCGCTCAACAAGACAGACAGACGGACAGACGGACAGACAGACATGGCTATATCGACTCGGCTATTGATGCTGATCAAGAATATATATACTTTATGGGATCGGAAACGTTTCCTTCTCTGCGTTACACACATCCACATTTACCACAAATCTAATATACCCCTTAACTCTTTTTTGAGTACGGGTATAAAAAGGCAGTGCAAAGATTCTTAGGGCTGACGTCGTACTTCAGGAAATTTGTAGA